TCTGTTATGAGTTGTAAATATTGGAGTGGAGTTCCCCTTTTGTTTTTGTAATTGAATTTTGAGTATATTGTAAGAACATTCAACAATTTCTTGACTTTGAGAATTATAAGGAATTCCCACAGCAAAGGAAATTTGAAAGGTTTTGAAAAAGATTTGGAAGGCAACCTAAGGGGAGAAATGCTTCCCCTTGGTCTTGCCTGTCAGCTTCAACTCTTTGGTGGTGGTAACCAGGAGGGGTTCAGTGCCCACCTGGCTGTTGGGGATGGGCTCCATCACCAGCATACTTCTTCTGCACAGGTGACTCAGAAGTTGCTGCCACTGTAGCCATAGGTGCCACTTTCTCCCTCTTCTGATTTGGGCTGTTGTGGCTCCTGTGGTTCTGAATTGAGTGGTGGAGTCCAAGGAGTTGTGTGTGTGGTGACAGGGATGGCTGGAACATCCTGGCTGCATCTGCTTAGTAACAGAGTGTGGGGCCATCTCTCAACTGTGCCTATGCCTTTCTCTTTTCTAGCTTTGTGCTTTGATGAATGTCTCAGTTAACCTTCTTTTGTTGCTGGGACAAAATACCTGACATCCAAAATTAAGGAAGGAGCATTCATTTATCTCACAGTCAGTGGAGGTTTCAGCCCATACTCCGCTGAGTCCAAGGCAGAGTGGCACATGGCAGAGAGCAGCAGTACATGGCAGCAGCAAAGGACAAAGAGCAGAAGGAGTGGCAGCATGTTAGGCATGTAGCTAGCCTTGCCCTCCACCTTACATTGTAATGTAGAGTATCTGCTCCACGGCACTCACACTCAGAATGCCAGCATTGGATAATGAATCAATCACAAACTCCAAAAGCCTCCTCATAGCTGCATGAGGCTTTGGGAGGACACCTAGACATGAACTATAGCAATGAACCAGTTGTACAGGAAGCCTAATCCACATTCAAACAAAAGCAATTTCCTTTCCATGATAAACAATTCCCCAGACTTAAACACATTGTAGTTATTTCTTTCAAATCATTTGTAGCCATAATATCTTGTCCTATACATTCTACTGAACCTAAGGTAGGAGGAGTTATATGCCATTGATAATGGTAGTTTGTTTTAATTCTTTGAAGGTCTTAAAAGGTACAGCTTCGTGAAAATGTGGAATTTATACTGGCTTACTGGGAAGTTGAACTTTAGTGACAGGGTAGACTTGTTGAAAACTCTCCATGGTGATCCCTATTCATCCAGTTTCTTTTAATGCCAACTGCAAGGGTGATAAAGAAAATGGTTCTACTCCCTAAAAGGCAGAAGTTCCACTTGTGATGCAGCAATGTTTCTCTAAGCTGAAAAGGTGAGAATTGCTATTTGTGGCTTAGATGAGACTATTGTGGTGGCAGCTATTCTGCCATCTTTTTCCCACTTAAGATTTGATTTGCTCTGAGCTAAATCCTTTGCGTGTCATTACAAAAAAATTAGGACCATTGCAAATACACAAAAGTAAGTTAAACACATGAATTGAGTGCAACAAACACTTCTGTATACATCTATGCACATAATTTCTATCTATCTACATGTTCACTGAGAACTGTTTGCTCCATGTTTTACACCTGATATTAATATAAATGCAACTCAGTGGTTAATATTGAGGCTATCAATGTACTTCTCCCTGTTTTGCATCCATAATGAAAAGTGTCCCCTCACAACCTTCCCACTATTCTGAGTTTTCTTGCTACATTTGGGACCTTAGAAGAACTCTAATGTTGCAAGTGCTAATAGTGTAATGGCTGCCACTCTTCAGTACTGTTGGTCCTAGTTAGGACACATACTGTACTTACTGATAAACTGTGATGTTTCATTGTAATGTTTCTGAGTGTTTTGCTTTAATGAATATTTCTGCCTTGAACTAAAGGGTGGTAAAATCTGTGGAGAATTCTTTACTTGGGTTTACTTTCTGATGATTTTATGTTCAATATCAATTTTCTTGCAGATTTAACGGATTTCTTGATTTTTCATATTTTCATGGATTTGGATTTTAAATCACTTTTAGTGTATATTCTTATAAATACCACAAATGACATTTTTATTGCTTCAAATTATGTATATTCACAGACCTATTTTTACTACATACATATTATATGCATATGTATACACAACTTTACCCTGGGACACTAGCTCCTTGTAGTTTGCAATTAATTTTCATCATAGGAAATATGGGCATAAGATCGGAGTTCATAGCTTTGAACATACATACCTGGGATGTTAAGGTGCTCCACATGCTTCTTGCATCATGAGGAATATATTGGGAATTTTTTTTCTTTTTGTTTTATCAATACAGGGTAACTTTAAAAACAATTAACTTACTTTTAAACGCTTATCTACAATCTGAATTATCTTCCAAAGATAAAAATGCCCTTATCATTTCTTTTCATAAAATGTTAATCATATATTCAATTGGAATAAAAAATAATTTATGTAAAATAAATTGCTACTGCATATGAGCAAGTTTTTATTTCTTAATGAAATTCAAGGAAAAATTACAGTACTGAAACTGTTTGCCTGACTGTACATTTGTGTGTTCCCATTTCTTTCTTTTTTTAACCCATTTGATCAGATTTATTGTTTAGCAACCGATAAGTATTTTCGATGCTTAATAATTATATTTCTTCTATATGTGATTATCTAACTTTTTAATGGAGAAAAAGAAACCCAGGCATAAAAACACCTCATGGGCCCTCAGTGTAGCTCGGTTTTTAGAGACCTTTTGGGGATGGCATCTACAAAGCAGGCAGAAAGGCAGCACCAACTGACCAGTCACAGGTTGTGACCTTTGACCCACTGCTCAATCCAGCCGAAGAGCTGGCTTATGTTCTCCTCTAGTTCCTCAGGTGTACTGCTGGGCAGCTGGGGCACAGTGTCCTCCTTGTATGACAACAAGGCCTCTTCACAGAGAACTTGAAAAATCTCACACTCGTTATTATCTCCTAGTTTCTTCTCATTATAATCCCTTGTTTCAGTCTGTTGTACAATATATAGTTATCTGTTCTCAACACAAAAGCTGCATGAAACCACCATTCAGGAAAGAAATCACAACCATAGTAGCCAATGATAACTCTGCCTTCTCTCACTTGGTTCTCTAACTCATCAACAACTTTTTCTTCATCTAAAAAGGGACAGTCACAGTCTTCACCACAGCCATTATATAATGTCCCTTCTTGAGCTACATCACCCACATTAATGTATTTCAGTCCTGATCTGGATGCAAGTTCTTTTCCTAGTCTGGTCTTTCTAGCTCCTGGCGTGACAGTGATCAGGATGTCCAGAAGCACCATAGTTCCAGATGCAGAGGGCAGGTGTGTGTCAGCTCACTCTCCGTGCACTGGATTTCCATTTCTGATCCTTTGAAGTTCTTTAGTTTCATCTACTGAGATACCAAAGAAATTTTGGTTTATCTTCCTTTACATTTCAGGAGTTTAGAAGTGAAATAGACCCCTACTTTAAGAAACCTAAGTAATTGCCCTACTTGTCAATGGCAGATGACAAGATAGACATCTCACAAGTGCTTCACTTGTGTCAGGCTTGTGCAGCAGGACATAGATTTCAAGTGAAAAATGTAATGCAGATAAAAGACTTCTGCTAAAATTTGTGCAGCAGGGAACAAATGCTCAAGAAAAGGCATTGAAATTGTTCTCTGTAATACACATGTTTAGAGATTAAAAATGTGATACCAAGGGCTCTATAATTCTTAAAAGTTGCATTGTATTTAAAATACACTTTGGAATTTCAGTAGTATTTGTACAAAGAGTCCATGAGATAGACAATAGGACTAATTTCAAAGATGTTCAGGGTAGGGCCGGCCAAATAGCTCAGTGGATTAAAGTGCCTGCAAGCAGGCACAGGGGCAGTGGGTTCCATCCCCGGGCCTGCCGTGATGGCTCCGTCCCCGGGGCGCACTGAGACAGTGATTGAGACTGGGCATGGTGGCATGTGCCTGTAATCCCAGCTCTTGGAGGCTGTAAACAGGAGAATCACTACGAGTCTGATCTAGTAGGGACACCCTGAACACCTTGTAAACCCTTCCCTAAAGTACAAAAAGAAAAAAAAAAGAAAGAAAAAAGAAAGATACTCAGGGAGCAGACTGTGTGAGGACATTGCCAATGACTGCAGCATGTACCACATGGTGTGGGCTTGGCTCGTACCGGAAGCCAAGCTGCACCTCCAACAGCCTTAGATATCCCTGCTGCTTTGTGTACTGCCTCTTCCTGCTCTGTGTGAGGATTGGCTGATTTTGAAGGATGTGAAGGAGCAATGATGGGGATACTGCAAGCTCCCTGTGACATTGAGAATCTGGAAGTAGAACTTGCCCCAGAGTTAGAAGCAATAGCCCTTGTCACATTCATCAATTCTAGTGTACAACTAGAAAACATTTGGAATGTGCATTTCAGATACAGCTTTCAGTAAAGAGAATTCTTTCAGAAAAAACGAATATGGGAAAGATTAAATGTATTATTATACTAAATATATCAAATATGTCTTCAACAAGTAAAACCTGTGATAAAATTAAACACATAATTTTGCAAAACTATGTTTGAATCATACATTTAATTTAAAATAATTTTCCACTGAAGAGTAAAAATCAAAAGTTATAAGAAAGTACAATTGTCAATGAAAATTCTAGAAAAATAAAAGATTAACAAAGCAGATAAAGTTAGAAAAAATAAATGCTTAGGCAGAACAAGAACTTCACACAATTTTCATGTATATGGAAGGGAAGAATAAGAACAAAAGTCATTAAGGATACAATAGAAAAGCCATCATTCTTTCTTAATACAAATGTTATAAAGTGGAAGAGCTGAGGAAACGACTTTCTTTCCACTGAAACTGACTCTGTGAGATTAGCAACAAGAGATATTTGATATGTTGGTGGGGAAATAGAAATCATCCCAACAGATAGCTATTGGAGAAACAAAGAAGAGAGTATGCTACCTTGCTGCAAGTACAGTCATCTCTGTTGTAGGCTGCTTCTTGTAGTCATCTCTGTTGTAGGCTGCTTCTTGCATGGATCAGGACTTTACTTAGAGCTGATTGAAGGTCCCTGTTCCTCAAACAATAGATGATGGGGTTCAGGGTGGGGGGTACCACAGAGTAGAACACAGAGCACAGCGGGTCTAGAATAGGAGAAGCATTGGAGGCTGGCTTAAGGTAAGCAACAGTAGCTGTTAGGAGAAAGGTGACCACAACCACGAGGTGGGGTGTGCAGGTGGAGAAGGCTTTGGACCAGCTCTGCCTGGATGGGATCTTCAACACAGTAGATAAAATAAACACGTAGGAGACCACAATGCAAATGAAACATGAGAAACCATAGAGGGCCCCGAGGGCTATACTGACATTGATAGCTGCATGGTCCTCAGAACAGCTGAGCTCTAATAGGGGAGGAACATCACAGAAAAACTGGTGAATCCTGTTGGAGCCACAGAACTCCAGGGAGAATGTTCCAGCTGAGTACAAGATTCCCAAGGCTCCTCCACTGAGCCAGGACACAACCACCAAGTGGATGCAGCACCCTTTGCTCATGACAGCCTCATAGTGCAGAGGGTGGCAGATGGCAACATAGCGATCATAGGACATGACAGTCAGGATTCCAATCTCTGACCCTGCTGAGAGGACCACCAAGAAGAGCTGACACACACACCCCATGAAAGAGATAGAGTCACTTAGTGTGACTGAGTTGAGAATGGATTTGGGGACTGTAGCAGAGATGAGACACAGGTCCAAGAAGGACAAATGCCTGAGGAAGTAGTACATTGGAGTTTGGAGGTAGCAGTCAAGAACTGTGAGGAGGATAATGGTCAGATTCTCCAGTGTGGCTGCCAAGTAGACCAGAGAGAAGAGGGCAGCCTGCAGCCCCAGCAGCGCCCTGTTGTCTGTCAGTCTCAGGAGCAAGAACCCCCTCAGAAGTGTCTGATTCATCATAGTGTAAAGTCACGGACCACCTCTTGATTCTAAATGAAATGGTGATTTAGAAACATCATATTACAAGCAGACAAGTACACCCATATTTTTAGCAACCCAGCTCATTATAGGCTAATCATGGAAACAGAGTATATATTCATCTTGGATGAATGGAAAAAGAAAATGCGATATATAAACAAAATGGAGTAATAGTTTACCAGCCTTAAAGAAAGACAAATTAGAGACTAATAGTAGGAAAAGGGATGCAGCTTGGGCCTGTGAGATCATTTCAAGTAATTCAGACACAAAAGTTAAAATCATATGGTTTATGTTGCAGGAAAAATTCATTTTATAAATAAAGATAAAAACAAAAGAGATAGTAGGAAATAAAGATCATTTGGAAAAGGAAAGCAGACCAAGCGATTGAGTGATGGGAAGGTCAAGGGGTTTAGAAAGAACCAAGATGCATTATGTGCGTGGACCAACTTCTCCTCACTGTGAGTGCACTCATTACATACTGCAAATCTGTCCTAAGGGAAGTAAATGTGAACACAGCACCCAATCTGGTATGTGACTCTCGACTCTTGATATATACACAACTTTGCATAATAATTTAGACAGAAATTTTAAAAACATCAAAACATTCAACACTGTATGCAAATCAGATATAGAACAAGCATGCTGTACCATCCACTGTAATTCAGTTTATTTTTTTATTTTTTTATTTTTTTTTATTTTATTTATTTGAGAGAGAGAGAGAGAGAGAGAGAGAGAGAGAGAGTGTGGTGTGTGTGTGGCCAGCTCATCCCACCAGGGGGCGCGACTGGCTGGCATGTGGTGCTGGGGGATTGAACCGCGGTCCCTGATGCTTTGCGAAGCTTGTTCTAAGTAGGTGCTTTAGACCACTGAGCCATCTCTCCAGCCCATGTAATTCAGTTTAAATTAATTTTGAAACAAGAGAGACTATGTCTCTTCGAAATAATGTGAAATTATGTGGGACTAATGTTTCCATTCAGGTTTCCAGGATTAGCTGTGTGTGCAATAGTAACTGGAATAGCATATAAGATGAGCCTTTATAGGAGGCAACATTATCCTCCTTGTTTGAATTTGAGTGTGGGTTAGAAGGCTTGAGAGAAACATCTGCGTGCTGCATGCTGTGATATTGTCAGCATTACTTTGTACAGCAGTTGCTTGAGTGTTTGAAATGGAACCCAAAGAAATATCTCTCTTTGATAGGATCTTCCATGACTCTGGAAATCTAGTAGTCTATTCATTAGAAAGAAATATATGAGAAGACAACAGTGAAAGTAAAAAGTGAACACTTATCATTATCAAGTGAACTAACAAGTAATGTCCCTTTTGTAAAACATTAAGATTTATCCCCTGGGCTTTCATAGAAAATTGAATTCATTAGTCTAGATGATGTTACAGCATTGATCCTTTTTTTTTTTTTTTACTTTATTGCAGTTATTTACAATAGACAGAGCATGAGAGCTATTCAAACCATTTAGAAAATGTGAATTAAATGTACAATGGGATTGTGCAGAGAAGAGGAGCAAAACCACAGATTAATGGGACAATCAGAAATATTCTAGGGAGGATCCTGTCCACACTGAGAATCTGTCCATACTGAGACAGCACCCCACCCAGAGAAGCACTGTGTCCTTCCAGCTTGTGGCCCTGGGTGCTTCTCATGGGGCTGGGTTTGTTCTTCCCCTCAGGTCCTTCTGCCATTAGAGCCCTTTGTCCTTTCTACCACCACAGTAACCTCTCTGCATTTGGCCAGGCAGCCATTCTCTTCAAGTTTAGGAACATTTCTGTGAACACTCAAACTTCTCTCCAGCTGGTCATGCAAGCCATTTCATCATACACACACTGTGTACACACCCTCACAGAGGGTCTGTGAGCCTCTGTCCAGCTGAGATTTGTCCCTGGTCAGCTCCATGGGTTCCTTCCCAAGCTGACCTGAATTGTTGATAGGACTGAACACTCCCAGGCTTCATGGTTCTTGCAAGGTACATGCATCTGCATGAGAAGTCCCTTAAGATTCACAGTCTCTTTATGATTATCACCTTAATCCCCTGAGTTCTCAGAGTTTGTCTGGTTTGTAAACTCACAGGACAGAATCTGCTTAGCCTGATGTCCAGTGGGGCCCAGTCAAAAGCTATAGTCTTCTGTTTCTACCTGGAAAACAGGCGCAGCCTTTCCATTTGTCCTGCAGAGAAGCATTTCCCACTCTTCCTGTGCACGTTTCTCTTCTCTGACCAGCTCTGCTCTCCTCCCTTTCCCTAGAGTGCAATCCTAGGACATGGATCTGGGAAGGACAGGGGAGTTCTGACAGAGCAGATTCCTTCTCACCACTGAGACATAATTTCTTCAAACAAAAACCTTTCTACCAGCATCTTAACACCACCATTGCTATTTTCACCAGTGAGGTTATTGCTATCTTTAATACGAATGATCTCATAGTTGAATATTTTGAATGGATTCAGAGGAGAGATCATTTACACATTTTTAAAAATATCAATAATTTCCATTTTAATCATATAAAAGAAATGATTTAAAGCCACCTACTTTAAAATACTGTATCAATATGGTTGTTGTATTATGTTGTTACTGCCAAATTTGTTGCTCAGATTACCAGATACAAGTATGCAAGATTGTTCCACCAGTTAAATATTAACACTTCCTTTCAATAAAACTTTTTTATTCTCCTTTTAACTTTTTTATTTTTTAATTTATTTTAAGGAGAGTACACTAATAGATAAGATACTAGAAATGGTACACGTTTAGAAGATCGAGATGAGAGGTATCCAGCTGTTTTTATATTGCTGCTGTTGTATATAACTTCCTATAAAAATTCAATACTTTAATACATTTTAAAAAGCACATGAACATTTTCTTCCAAGTACTTTAGACAGAATCTCTATCATGCTGTCTAATAGAATTTAAGCCCTTTCTTAGTTCTCTAACTTCATGTTTGCTTTCAAGGATAAGGAATTAATATCAGAAAACCAAGTTGGAGAGATGGTAAATAGCAGTACATAAAAGTTTTGCTATATCTTCATTTTATTATTTTTATTTTAAATAGAACAAAAATATTAAGAAAAACATTAAAAATACAGAATTTTATAACCATATGATATATATGGAGTATCTGAGATGATTGTATGGCTAATTTACATCAGTTTTTAAAAAGTAATAGCGAATGTTTAAACTTTTTATTCTGACTAACTTTGTTTGCTAGTATTTGTAATCTGAACAACTACATTGAGAACTGAAATGTTAAATATAAAAACACAGTTGGATACCTCTCATCTTGTTCTTCTAAATGTGTACCATTTCTAATATCTATTAGTATACTCTCTTTAAAATAAATTAAAAATAAACAAGTTAAAAGGACAAGGAAAAAAGTTTTATTGAAAGGAAGTGTTAATACTTAACTGGTGGAATGGTCTTGCATATCTGTATCTGGTAATCTGAGCAACAAATTTGGCAATAACAATACATGGTTGTGGCAACCAGCCACAGTTAATTTTCTATTCTTGTTTTGAAATTCTCTACCATTTGCATTGTTGTATGTTGCTTTGTTTCTGATTTTGTTTTTGCTTTTGATTTGTGTATACTCTATAAAATAAAATTAAAAAAAAGGTCAGAAATCCACAATGGTTGTTAGATTGTTTATTGTTATCCTCAGGGTGTTTTTCAGGTTACTAGCTATAAGCATGCACATTTGATCAGAAAAAAAGTAACACTAACTGTTCCTTTCAAGAAACCAATAAAAATTAATAGTACAATTATCTTAGCTATTTTGTGCTCTTTTTATTTTTTGAGAGAATAAAAATAGTAAAAAAAAGCATTAGAAATGGCACAGAATTTCACTAAACAAAATGATAGGAATTAACAACAGTTGTTACATTGCATATTGTCTTCAAATTAGTTGTTCAGATGATCAGATATAAACATGAAAAATTGCTCAAAATTGTCAAAAATATTGAAAAGAAGAAGAAAAAATAAGCACTAAATATTGGTAACAATCCAAATGCCCATCAACTGAGAAATCAATAATACAGTGTAGTGTTACTCAGCTATAGAGAAAGGTGAATTTCAGGCTTTTATAGGTAAATGCATGCAACTAGAGACCATACTCAGAAGTGAAATAAATATTGTTTTGTTATTAAAAACAAAAAACCTGAAAGAGTAACTAAAATTCAAAAGGTACAATAGATACTGTGAAAGGGAAAGAACCTATTTGTTCAAGGAAAGGAACACAAGGAATGAAAGAAAAGAGAAAAGAAATAAGGAGGAGGAAAGAAAGAGGAAAAA